CTGTAACCTGTGAAATCTAACCGGGTTATGTATTCTAAAATGGAAGGGCACGGGGCGGGGCGGGACGTGGATCGCATTTCTATTTCTTTTCCCCCTCCTATGAACAAAGAAACTTGCCCCGCCACTGCCCCGCCCGTGCCCCCGGAGGGACCGAGCCTAGGCTGTTTTTCCTTTACGAGGTGGCGGGCACCACTTTCTATCGTATGAAAAATATTCGGTTTTTGTTATCATTGTTAGTATATTATAAAAAAAAAATTAACAATGACCTCGTGGGTTGGTTTTATAGAGCCGAACGAGCTCATTTCGGATAATGCAAAAATAGAAAATAGTTGTCCCGCCTTACTTAACTAGAGCACTTTTGAACTTGTATCTCTTATAAAAATTAAGTCTTGTATGAAGAAGTGATTATAATATGACATTTTTTTCTCAAACGAGGCCGGCCCATGTGGCGCGACAAGGCTAACACTAACTAGCCTTGCCTAATGTCCGCGGGGCGTTTGTTTTGAGGAAAATTTGCCCTGTCCAAGACGGTGCCCCAAGGGGCACGAATTCCTAGTGCCATGCGCACATCCCGAACACTCTTTACCAAGATAGTTGGTCTAATGATGAAGGGGCTATCCATCTTTCATAAGATCAAGCGTTTTATTTACATTGCAAATGAACCCTTAAATAACCCGTGCTATGTTGCCTAGTGACAGCATATTTGTGGAGAGACTTCCTGACTGCTAGCATAGTGGTGAAGTTATGGTAATGGGCCCATCAACCTTAGATCTTCAGGGTGCAAATGGTGCGGAGCAGTTATACCTTACGGGTGTGGGGCCCTTATGATAACACTTATAAGATATCATACGTTGCTACTCTCTTCGTTTTTACTCGTAAAATAATATTGTATCGGGAACACTGTACATCTTATATAACTGTACAGTAATTCTACCTTTAAATATATCAGGCGCAAGTATATATATATCCACGCCTTTATGATTAGGTAAATCCTACTATCCTAGCTAACCATCGATCAAGATTCTCTCTCACGTGATCATAGAAAGTGCCACACCTGTTTTTTTTAACTTTTTTAGTATTTTTCACCACTCCAATTTACCATAAACTCTCTTTGACATAAGCAATGTCCCCCTTTATTTTGACCTTTTTCCCAAATAACTTCTGTATCCAAATTTACGAACAAAATTTATCTGATGAATGCATGATAATCGTCCATTCACATGTGTCGAATAAGGTTCCACTCACGTGATGATAAGTATGGCTCCTCCAAGTTATGCGCAGCGGAAGACGCTTTGATTCTAGTACAGGATCAATCGCATTCAAACAAGCGTCTGACTGCTGAATCGATGTGCGAACGAAGGATTAATCACCGACTCGATAGTCGACTCTTCAAGCAGATCTAATTCGCCAACAGATCTCCATTCTAGGATACCCCAGGAAATGTACAAAAGGAACAATAACGCGAACGACACAAGACAATCTGATGTGCCCCGGGATGGCAATCCATGCATCCAAAATTTTAAGTACATTTTTTACAAACGTTGGCCATAGAATTTTCGCGAATCGCCTATGTGGTCTCCACAACGTGCCTATGTGACCCGAAGATGAATGTGGGTCGCATTCATCGAATGTAGCTGTTAAGTGGACTGACGTCATAATGCCTTATCTAAGTGGGACTAGCACGATAATCAACGCTGTCTGTGCCCAAGTCAAAAGTGACAACAGATTGCAACACTTTCTAATTGGGCCGAAGGGGATATCCACATCTCTTTGCTCGATTCGTGGAAAATGATTATGAAAAATGTTTTCCTAACCCCTAACTCTCTCATAAATATGTCGTCACCATGTTCGTGTTTATTTCCATTAATATTCGGAGATTGTGCGGGTATAAACCGGTTTGACTTGAAAACAAAACAAGATTATTCTTGAATTTCAATCTGAAGGTTTGGGCTTCTTTTTGTTTTCTCAAAAACCTTTTGTTGTTTTATTTTCTAATTGCATGTACATAGCTAACTACAAAATCAGCCGTAGTATATGTCAATGAATCTCACGTCGCTTGTCTATGAAATTTATGTACTCGCTATTTATATAACATTCTTACATAGTATCACAGGTTGTGTCCAGGTATATTTTGCATTTACAGTCCCTGTTGATCAAATGTAATATATCGTTCCTAATCCAGCTTGTATTATATGCTCTTTGTTTACAGATAGTCTCCCTTCATCCGTTACATAAAGCATCATAGGTATTGATACCTTGAAGTCAATATTTCATTTTATTTGGATTCCGAAGATGCGTGCGGAAGTCATATCATCGAAACATTATCAAATTTGGTAGAACAAACAAATTCTAATTGGGTAATTTGTCCTGGTAAACAACTGGCAACATGGTGAATGATGACAACAAGAAAAGAATTGTCATCACCTATGAACAAACTTAGGATGAATTGTTTTGTCTATCGTGCCCTAATGAGATAAGAAGTCGAATATGCCTAGAAGTTGTAGGGATTCACGTGCCAAAGAATTGACCTGTGATTAAGGAAGCAGCTAGTCACCTAATGGGTTTCTAGACAGGACTTAATGTTATTTCCTTGAATGAAGAAGGGACTAATCGTCAAGTTTGAATTGGGTTTTTCAGTTTGAAACTTGATTGTGAACTTTCATTTTGCACTAATGGAGAAGGCTTCCGTAAGTTCTTTAAAGTTTGGAGAAACGCTATCAAACTTCGTGGTTTTTAATTCGACCCGATTGATCCTCGTAGAAGATGTAAATTTTACCTCAGAGGAAACCAATTCAATAATGCTTGATATATTGGAATTGGTACGTTAAATTGGTACGCTAAGGCTTGTTTGATAAAACTGAAAAATAAGTGCTGAAAATCTAAGCATTTGACGTTGAGTTTTGACCATTTAAAATAGAAATAAAAAGCTACTTTTTTTTGTCGAATTATAAAAAGCTACTTGATAATGATTGAATATTGATCATTGCATTAGTAATTTCTTCCCATACATGATAATATGAATTGTTATTAGTAGGTTTCAAATCAATGTTAGTTAAGTTGTCGAATTAGGTTAATCTCATTAATTAAGAGCATATTTTAAAAAAAAAAAATTCAACACTTAATTAGGTATAAAAACATGTCCTAAGTGAAATGATAAAAGCTAGTAAATTCTAAAGATGATTAACTTATTCAAAGGCTCACTTAGGCATTTAGAGTCTAGCGAGTCATTAAGGCCATTTGATAGCCCAATTAACTGCTCAAACTTGAAAATCTTATTCTTAATGAGGTTAGACTTGTTTGATAACCTTACTTAATATTGAAATAAAGAACTCGATCAAGTTAAAATATCTCAAAAATATGATAGGTTAAAAATAGGATTACGCAATTCACTCAACAAAATAAGAAAAATAATTGGATGACATTTAGATACTCGCTAAATGTATTGCCAAAACTTATATCGATAAAGATCACCGTTCCATTTTAGGTAGGAAACCAACAATATCTAGCCATCACTTTTCGATCATCAACAACCGATGTTCCAATTGAGGTTTTCAACCTTTAAAACCTGTCAACGCTCACAATTCAATATTGACACGTATGTTACAATTATAGTGGACGAACCCTTATCGTACCTGGAAATAGTCATCCTTTTTTGACTTTACTTAACCGAAATGGAATGAGGAAATTTCTAACTCCTTTCCCTCGACACTTTCCTCGAGGAAATCGAAGATGCCCATTTGGGCCATATTTCTATACAAAGATGTTGCGTCTCCGAAAACAGTTATTCATCGAAAATTTCTAAAGCTTTTTGTTGGGGGGTGGTAACGATGATTAACGTAAAAACTATGATAAAACGAATTCGAGTACGACAAGCTAGTTTTACAAATTGACTCATCTATATGATCGGTGGGTTGAAAGCTATCGACTTGTCCATACCAGTCTAAGGCTTCGTTTGTTTTAAAGGAAATGAACGATTCAGATATAAAAAAAAAACGATTCAGATAAAAAATTATCGTTCGTATCGCTCGAAATAATTAGTTAATGAAAAATATTTTCATCATCGACATAATTGTGCATACAATAGAAATATTTTTCGTTCATTCATTTTCGTAAGTTATACAAGTAATCATTTTTTAAAAACGTATTTCCCAAAACATTCAATCACCTTAAAACAATCGGAACATGAATATAAAATCGGGCGATGCCTACGACCCAAAAAATGTATCGATTTTACAAGCCGATGGAATGAAGATTGTCTTCGCTGAGGGCGAGTCCCATCTTTAAACAGAACGATGAAAACATTTTTCGTTCCATTCGTCTTTACAAGCGACACGAGCGACCGTTTCTCACCAAAAAAAAAAGAAAAAAATGCTTTCCAAATCACCCGTTCCTCTCGAAACGAAACAAAAACGGGGACCTAAACACGTAAAAACGGGCGATCTGTGCTACCCAGAACATGTATCGATTCTCTTTTGCAAAGAGGGTGGGTCCATCCTCTGACGTGATTCCTTGCGAGCCGATCCCTTTCTTTGCTCCTCAATTTCTCCCCCTTTCCTGTTCACGCATTTTGACTCCGGTGGCAGCAAACGAAAGCCAAAAAGGAGCGAGGGAATCGCGACTGTGGATTTTTAAGACCGACCGAGCGGTGGTGGCGATCTCTAACCCAAACAAAAATCGAAAGACAAGCACACCCCCCACTAGAAAAAAACATTAAAAATAATAATAATAATAAAAAAATAAGAGAGACAAGAACAGACGACAGAAAAAAAAATCGATGCTTTTTTCCGCTTTCCCCTTCTTTTCTGATTCGTAAAAGAAATGTCTTTTTTAGTCGCCTTTTCCCCAGTTGTGCTCCTCATCATCTCTGGCGTTGCGCTGCGCTGGAGCGCTTCTTCTAGGAAATTAAGCCGCGGAATTTTCCCCATCGTTCCCTTGGGAACGAAGAGTGCAGCCCCCCCCTCGACCACCACCACCACCACCACCTCCTCTTTGTTTGCCTTCGCCTACCACCACCACCCCCCCCAAAGAAGACCGGCCAAAGTCAAGAGCTTGAGGGAGAGAGAGGGAGGCAGGATGATGTCTGCGTCATCTTCTTCGGCTGCGGTTCGGGTGGAGAAGGCGACGAGCGATCTTCTGATGAACCCCGATTGGACCATGAACATCGACATCTGCGATTTTGTCAACTCGTATCCTGGGTACCCCGTTTCTTTTTGTCTTTTTTCTTCTTTTCTTTTTAGCCTTGCCTTGAATTCTCTCGTGGAAATTTTGCTTTTTTCGTTTCTGGGTCGGTTGACTTTGGTCTCGGCTTGCGTTTCGTTCCGTGCCCGTAGTTTGAAATTTGAGTTTCGGTGCGTTGCCGGTGAGCTTTTTGGCAGCTGATGGTTGTGATCGTCGCTTGCATGTGTCCCTTTTGAAAATTTTTCGTTCGTTGGCTCTTTCCGTGTTGCATGAGACGGAAGAGATATGTATTGGGGGGAATAATTTCTCAGGGGAGAAAGGAAAATTTTAGTCTTTGAGGACAAAGGGGAAATTAGATTGTTCTTTTCGCGGTATTCAATGGGAATTTTCGTTTCTGATTGAGCAGAAAGGCTGATAGCAACTGTTAGTTTTTATTCAAGGGATTGGGTTGAGGAGTGATGCCTATGGAACACTTGATAATTATTTGCTGGTCACATTGATGATATGAATTTACAGTTACGTGATATTAGAATTGAAGTAGAATAGAATTTGACAATACAAGGAAACGAAAGTTGTAAAAATTGCCTTTTTACCTTTCCAAAGCGCGTTAGTCGAAGCTTAACTAGTTATAAGAGAGCAGTAGCTGACAAATCCATTTATTAAACCTTGATCATTTTGGTTATGCATGAGAGCACGCTAGAGAGAGAGAGAGAGAGAGAGAGAGAGAGAGAGAGGGAGATGGTTTTCTGATTGCATGCTGATTTTTATTTTTGTTATTTTGGATTTCTCAGACAGGCTAGAGAAGTTATAAAAGCAGTGAAGAAAAGATTGCAGCACAAGAGCCCGCAAGTCCAATTCCTTGCTTTGACGGTATTTTTGGCTCTTCAGATATGTTACAGTATGCATGCTGTAACTACCTAAAGATGTGCTTCTTAACATGAAAATTGAATTTTAACATGCACAAAACATGCCGCTTTCTGTCTGCCGTAAGAATTTTGTTAGAAATCTGATCTCTGTTTTAAACTACTGTAGCTTCTGGAGACAATGGTGAAGAACTGTGGTGAGTATGTGCACTTTCAAATTGCGGAGAAGAATATACTTGGGGAGATGGTCAAAATTGTTAAGAAGAAGGTAAATGCTTGATGAACTATTGTTTAAGTTATAAAGTGCTTTCACACAGCTTCATTCTGAATTGTCACTAGTTTGATGTCTTGGGGCTGTTTGCTTTCATCAAGATTTTGATAACATTTTTTGCGTCCTTTGGATATGTAAAACTTTTCCTCGTTTTGATAAGCATTTAGTTCATTTTCAGATGAGTTTATGGGTAGTAGTTGTGCTAAGGTTCTTAATCCACGCCAGTTTTGATCTGTATTCTGCTCTTTGAGCCCGTGTGGTCGGAGATTTATAAAAGTGTGGTTGTAAAACCATAGCACAAGAGTGAGATTCTGGGCTTGTACTGAAGGCTTCCTACCTACTGCCATGCTTTCTAATGCTGGAGCATAATTCAGTTTTTAGTATTTTAAGTTTTTCTCTTTTGATAAGTCTTTTATTATGTTTTAGGTTAATAAATAGTTACGTGCCAGTCATTTGACTTTTAAGGAACTCTATATCAGTATTTTACATTAAGGGTTGAGATCATCTGGCATCTGTAATCGTAGTCTAATTCGGTCTTTTAAGTCTATGTCATTAGTTTTTCCTCAATCCTTAAATTTCATCGGTTTTATAAGCCCTAAAATGACCTTTCTCTGGTCGAGCTTCAATTCTACTCTATTTTAGCCCTACTTTGGTTCTTTTTGCTACCTTTTATTTCTCCGACTACGTCAAATTGGTAACAGAGTCCTTTGTCAGTGTTTTTTCTACATTAATTTGGTATTAAAGCGGAAAAGGTCCTAACTTGCGATTAGGATTTTCGTTTCGACACAATGGTTGTACATGGAAGTGGAAATTGAGCCCAACAAACAGAGATGGTGTAGATGAGACGTATAATTGAAGACTTGTCGCGGGCTGTACAGTGATAGGAACTTGTGGAAGCCTGTATGGGGAATTGGAATGCATTGCGATCCCTTGGACATGCCGGAAGGTGGTCTTGAGGATGATAATGATGATGAATTTGATGAAAATCCCTTTCATGATGCCGGACCGGTGAACAATGCGGTAGGAGGTGGATTGGAAGAGCGATTGCGTTATGCCTTTGATCTTGATGAAGAGCTCTATCCTTTTTGTGAATATTTTGAAGATGAAGCAACAACAATTAAGTGGGATGATCGTGAAGTCATATGAATAGTTTTATGGGATGACTATAGTGATGAAGACAAAGTGTCTACGGCAAATTTACTGGCAGAAGATGAAACAGTTGAAAGTAATGATGATTCAAGCGAGGAAGGAAAAGTATTTCTGAAATTTTGATCCGGCAAAATGCATTAGGTATTAAGAAGAAGATGAGTAAGCACGTGGAGGAGGTGCTAGCCAATTAAAGTTGAAGAAAGATTATTCATTTCGAGATTGATTTTGTTTTTTCAGAACAATTTGAGGGTTCGGTTGAATGGTTCAATTGGCAAGCTTTCTTGAAGCAAGAAATTTTCGATTGTTTGGATGATGTGATGTATATATTGATGATGATCGGAAGGAATTCACTATTTCTCATTATTTGGCATTTCAAAACTCGAGGTAGAGTTTTCTCCAATCGATGGAGATGGATGCTGACTAGGAAAGATAACATGCTAGGAAGTTCCTGATGAAATGATTGGATAATTCAGCTTTCGAAAGTACATGGACTTGTTTAGATAAGATAGAGAAGATTGATCAAAAGACATGCTGAGTTCATCATAGTTTTTGATGCTGAGCTTGATTTCCTGCCAATTCGGGGAGAATGATGCGGTTGCATAATTCAGCTTTTTTTATTTCGAGTCTTTCCTCTTTTATTTAGTCTCGTATTATGTTTAATAGTCAGGTGCCAGTCATGTGACTTTTTATGAACTCCAGTGGTCCAGATTAGAAGAATTTATTCTAATTTAAGGGTTTGAGATCGTCTTTCATCAGTAATCCTAGTATGAATAGGTCTTCAAGTCTCTTTGTCATTAAATTTTTCCTCATTCCATTATTTTTCTTTAATGAACCCTAGAATTACCTTTCTTTGTTCCGGCTTTAATTCAACTCTATTTTAGCCCTGTTTTGTTCTTTTTGATATCTTTTACTTCTCCGACTGCATCAAATTGGTATCCGAGTCCTCATTAAGGTTTTTCCTACACCACATTATTTATCTTGTGTCTGTATTGAGTTTCTTTTGGGTAGAGTCGTGTTTAGTTAGAAAGAATTTAAAGCTGTTGGCCTTGATAATAGTGAAAGGATTGGTTTACTTGGGGTTTATGATTCTGAGAGTGAGATCTTGACGGGGCTTGTTGCCAATAGTTTAGATTCACTTTTATTTGTTTATCACCTTACTTCATGCTCTAGCAGATTAAGTTGACACTATTTGATTTATCACTTTTTGTAGTTGATGGGGCGTGGTAATTACCTTTATACTTAACGTCAAGATTATCTAGTACTTCAGCTGCTTTCCTTTTTATTAAATGATTGTTGTTTACTTCTTACGTTAATAATTCTGCATTTCTTTGGAGCACTTAGAGCATGTGGATGTCTTATGCAGACAGATATGAACGTCCGCAACAAAATTTTAGTGTTGTTGGATGCTTGGCAAGAGGCTTTTGGTGGACCAGGAGGAAAACATCCGCAGTACTACTATGCATATGACGAACTTAGAGTAAGTATCCATCTGATGAGTTGCAAGTGTTTCTGGATCAGATCGAATTGCTTTTTTTTAGTACTTTTCTTGCCTGAAAGGCTGATGATACGCTGTTTGTTACAGAAAAGTTATGAACATGCTATTATTATCTATTTTTTCGGCTTATAGTCGGTGGTATGACTAGGTCCCTTCAAAACACATCTATTTTTCATCGAGAAATATTGTGAATCTGACTGTTAATGATCATTTTACATTTGTGCTATTCAAGTGCTCTGCTGAGGATTCCATCTTCTGCAGAATTGAATTATAATGGCATCTTCAGTTATTTTGTATGTGCGTGGAATTATAGTTGGGTATCACGAAAGCATAAAGCCGGACAGTTGAAGAAGAAATGCTGGTTGTTCAACTGTGTAGAGGCATTGTGTGGAAATACTATTTTCATGTGAAAGATAATGTTTGTGTTTTCATTTTCACAATTCCAGCGTTCTGGCGTTCAATTTCCCCAGCGCTCATCCGATGCAGCACCAATATTTACACCACCAGTGACCCATCCAACTGAGAGGCATCCTCAAGCTGGATATGGTATGCCAATCAATTCAACAAGAAGACTTGACGAAGCAATGGCAACTGAGATAGAACATCTGAGGTCGGGGTTTTGCCTTTTTAAAAAGCCATGCATGGTTTCCGTCATTTTCTTGCTTTCTTTAGTGCTCGTCCCTGTCATGTTGCCTTCTCTGAATTCTATTCCCTGCCAATTCCCTTTGATCATCCAGTCTGTCTACCATGGATTCGATGTGGAACATCATGGAGCTCTTAAGTGAGATGCTGCAAGCTGTGAACCCGAGTAGTCGTGAGGTAAGTGGCACAATATTCTGAAATGATGGAGAGTTAACTGACTTCTGAGTCGCTGACTCTTATCTTTGTTGCTGCAGTCGGTGAAAGATGAAATTATAGTCGATCTTGTGAATCAGTGTCGTTCCAACCAAAAGAAGCTTATGCAGATGCTCACTACAACTAGGTAACCTACACCAGTGTGTCGTGTCTCCTTTTTGTCTTATTCGATGCACCTCATGAATTTATCTATCTACTTTAGTCTTGAGGAACTTTCAGTTCACCTGTGCTTATTTTTTTTGCCTGTTTACTGCTATTTTTTCCTCTCCATTGGGCATTATTTTGCCTGCTATTCAGGATTTGCTTGTAATTCTTCAGTGGATGTATGATATACGTTGCTTTGTCGCAGTGATGAAGAACTTCTTGCTCGAGGTCTTGAATTGAACGATGGCCTGCAAATTGTATTGGCAAAGCATGATTCTATAGCTTCTGGGTCCCCATTGCCAAATCAAACAGCAAACTTCAACTCACAATTGGACAAAGCTGGAGCTTCTGGCGTTAAACAGGGTGAAGTTAAACAGAGCGAAAAGAAAAGAGATGCCAGCCCAAGAGCAAATGCAGCACCCTCTACACCTCCTGCTACTCTTGCAAGCCGCTTTATGGATGAAGAGGACGAAGAAGAAGACGACTTTGCTCAGCTCGCACGAAGGTCAGCGGATTCTAGAACCTTGAACAATAGATGGCACTAAATTGTTTCCTTAAAAGATATCGTTCTGTTTTATAGTTGAACTAGTATTTAAATCAGTGCATCAGCAGATTTTTGCAATCATGCCACAAATAAAAGAAGATTTTATGTATCTGATTGCAAAATAAAATGAATGTTAAAATTTCACCAATGTTTCAAGGAGTTTCGTACAACCTACATGGAGCTAAATGTGCATCTTGAAGTCAGTAATTTCCATTTGCTAGTCATGGATAGTTCTCTGGTCACTCTATTCTCTGAAGCATGAGTGAGTCATGTGGAGGCTCGTCTGGGCCGTCAAACTAATGTTTATCCCCCAAATGCAGGCATTCTAAACCGCAAAATGTTCCTGGAAACACAAGTGCAGTTGGGAACGCCGGTCTTGCATCGATGAACAGCCCGAGCAGCACAAGTTCATCTGCTCCATCTACATCAGCTGCCGTTCCAGCTGATGCTTTGGCTTTAGCTTTGCCTGACCCGCCTGCTCCTGTTAAGACTACAAAAGACCAAGACATGATCGACTTCCTTAGCCTTGCCCTGACGACCAAGTCTCCCTCACCCCAAACCCCTCACACTCCATCCTCAAATCAAAATATGAATCAAGTACCTGTTTCTCCTAGTACGGAGGCCAATCCTTATGCTACCCAAAATAATTCTGGATCTCAAGGTCAGTTAGCATATAGTAGTTATGTGGTTCCATGGGCCCAGCCGCAGCCACAGCTGCAGCCTCAGCCTCAGCCTCAGCCTCATCTACAATCATACCGTCCATTTTCTTCCCAAATGCAACCTCAATATTCGTCGCCCTACCCTCCACCACCATGGGCATCCGGCACTAGTTATTCCAATCACCAACACCAAGCTCCCCCATCAAATGCTGGCGCATTTTGGACTCCTCGAGCCGAGACCCCTGCGTCTTACACACCTCCACAAGGAATCAGACCATTGCAGTCTTTTAACTCGTTCCCTGCTAGAGGAAGCAATGGACCTGCTCCATCTACGGTTCCTAGTAATATCTCCGCGCCTCCACCTGGACAGAAGCCTTTTGTTCCTTCTTACAGGTTGTTTGAAGATCTAAACGTCCTTGGCAATGCTAACGGAAGGCTGAAGACGACGAGTGGCGGGTCTCCTACGCTCTCCGGGAGTCCTGGTCCAAGCATGGTTGGTGGGAGGAAGTGAAGTGCACATAACAAAGCTTGCTTTGCTTCTTATAGGTTGTAAATATGGGGCAATTTGTCTTTAGGTTTTGAGTGTATCTAGACTCTGATTTGACACGAGTCACATTTTATCGATTTCTCATACAGAAACGCTTTCTTCGTCAAATTCTTCTTAATAAGGCTTCTGGGTGCTGCGCGGACAGGCGCTTGATGGCGAATGTGCTATTTTAAGATTTGTTTTGCAAAATGAAACTTCGACTTGTAAGTTGATTGTAATGGTTGATGGCGTGGGCCGATTGATTACTGCATTGTAGCTTTTTACCACTAGCCCTTTCTTTCTTCAGAGTCTTACCAAAGGCTGCTTTGTTGTTTTTGAAGCTGGGTTGACCAGCTATTGCCTGATTATTCAAGTTTGTGAGGCTTGTGTTGTGATGAAAATTTTGGCATTGCCAGTGTCCTTTTGGAATCTGTGCAGAAGAGACTAAAGATACGAGGGGTTTACTGGATTTACTTGAGCTTCCCGAAAATTCAAGTGTCCACAGAATCCCGGAGAGGTTTCATCGGCTGCACCAAATTGCTTTTGCAAGGGAAAAGGTTATTGTGTCGGTAGGGAAAAAAGTAACTAAAGTACACATCATGAACCTCATAGTTTCTTGAAAAAAAAACCTCATAGTTGAATTACAATACCAGGATTTGTACAACTTCAATGACATGCACGTATCAATGTGCTTAAAGCACCGCAGTTGCAACATGCAAGAAAGCAGTCCACGTTTACATGGTTTGATTTCAAAATGTAAGGCTATGGCGATTCTTTAATACTGCCGTCGCACATCTATGTTCAAAATTCTCGCAACCGTGCACATCTCATCAAATTTTTCAAGATGAATTGGAAAACCATCACTTGAGATGAAGATATACAATGAAAGGTAGAGCTCAAAATCATAAAATCTGAATAAGAGGGTCAAAATCCTGTCAGCGGAACATTGCTGAATGCCTTTCCTATAGTGATATCACCGGTATTTTACAGCCTCAACCTTTTGTATTAACGAGGCATTAGTACAACACACGTTCGAGTTAAATAATCGGTGCAAGAAATTACCATCATTCTGGGCTGCTTCAACTAATTCAATAGCACAACACTCCTACTTTCGCATGATATACCTCGCAGTCCACAAACCAATTCCATGTTACTGCTACTAGCGCCCAACATTGTTTCATTAGCTGGTGCCATGGAAATTAAAGAGAAGACATCAGACAAACAATCAATACGAAACTTGATGGAAAAATATATAAACAGACCTCAGTTGTAGCTTAAACTAAAGATTGCCATCGGAAAATCACGTTTAGCACATTTGAGAGTTACTAGAAAAAAACAGATGAAACACATCATCTCAATGAGCTTCCATTTGGAAAAGATTACAATATTCAATATCCCCAGAATAAAGTGCATGCTTGTGTCTCAAGAACTATTCTGACCCTAATGCCAACGGTTGAGTCTGATACCACCTTTATTAACTGAGTTCAAATATTTGAGGTCAGAGTATCGTAGGCTGCAACATTAAGCGTTCCCATCAATTAATACCTCTCTAGTCTGAAAAACATGCAATATCGACTAGGAGCCACTTAAAAACATATCATCATTTGCCATATTTAAACCCAGGACAGTCCTAGGTATCAGACTATAGACAGAAAAGGCACTTTCTAACTCCAGCTTTAAAAAAAAAAAAAAAAACTCCAGCTTATACAAAGTATAGTCAATCATTAGATGAGACTCAAAGGAAAGGAAACTAGAGGAAGCACCATATTAAAACTCAGGACATCATGACCCGATGCATTCATAAAAAGAGTGGTTACAAAAGTTCACTGTGAACCATTTTAATAGATCAGAAAATAGACCAACAAGAAGTGATATAGAAGGAGAGGACCCAAAGTACAAATATCTCAATGGGCGAAATAGGAAGGGAAAATGGCATTTTGAGTGAATCCACCTCAAAAAAGTACAACAATCTCTGCCACTCAACAGAAAAACAATTGTTCATGTCTATCTCCTGGAAGTATTTCCAAAGGTTCCATAAAGCACAAAGACCCTAGTTTGACATGAATTGCACTCAGCCCCATTCCCAATCTAGCCACTATGAATTAGCTTTCCACTATTCTCCAACCCCAACAGTCAAAATATCGTGATGATTTCATGTGATTATCATGACTTATTCAGTATTAGCCTTGTCTCTGTATCCTGAGAGCAGTATATCAAAATGCACCCTAGTGGTAGGAGGAATTCTGCACGCAGTGGGGACTGGTGTTCTAGGCTTCAAAAACCCAGAATGACCAAAAGCAAATGGGACTAGAGGGAGGGTGGGAGGATAGGGTTACAATCAACTCGAAAGATGCGCAATCAAGCCAAGCGCCAATCAAGATGTGAGGATTACCTGAACGGTCAGTACCAATTTCTCTGCTTGGGTATTTGGGGTATGTTGAGATCAAGAAAGCTATTATCTTCTTTAGCTTTCTCATCTTTCTGCCACAGACACTGTAGAATTAGATGCTGTTGATGATTCCAAGTCATTGGCCACTTCACTCTCTAGTTGACCGTCCAGAATTTCCATGACATTCTCAGGTGGACATTTATCAGCAGGATTATTTGTTGACATCTGGCAGAAACATTCAGGCCAAGAATTTGTGTAAAAGGACTCGGGAGAGACACGCTTGTGGGGCCCGCCAAAATTCGTTTTAAGCATGACTCGCCTGACAGCTTCTTCAAAACCAGCTACATGTCCCTTCTCTCGATTGAGGAAGATCGGTGCAAGAGCTTTTCTGTCAGGTCTGATTGTAGTCCTAAAGCCATAATATAGGCGGTGACCCAGAAGATTGTTTGCAAAGTTGCTTGGGCCGTCGTAGGTTGGCATAAAAATATCTGAAAGTAGACAAACCATGTAATCGACAGCAGAGCCTGCCAATCCTCTGGCATTTGCCACTAACTCTTCAGAGGGATCCACTGAACTGTGGTTCTCAAGGCGAGGAAATAAAGCCCTGAAGGGTCTCATGAATCTTTCACCCCCAAATAGTTCACCAGCTGCTAAATATATTCTCGTGGAGTTGTCAAATCCCATAGCTCGTAGGACCAAACCTACCTGCAATGTGGCACAAGAAAACAGGGCATTCATTACTAGCTACAAGACTACGACTACTCAAGAAAAGGTACCAAATTAATATGAATTGGTTACTAGGGAGCCCTGCTGCTAGCAATTTACTAACAGTTCTTTTCTGTAAGATGCTTAATCAAGGTTTACCTCTTCAGGAGTTAAAGGACATTTTCCAATTGCCCTCCTTTCACTGGGGACAAGTCTTTTCTCAGCAAAATTTTCTTCTCGATACTTCTGCAATATTTTCTGCTCCGCAGGGGTAAATATATCGAAGCACCTGTAGAGATGCATACCATCAAAGAAAGCAGCAGCAGTCAATTAAAAAGCAATTGCACTCAATCTCGATAACTGTCCAGTATGGGGAGCATGAGAATCTTAAAGATTCTTGCAATCTCATCTTAACAATAATATCTAGCCCTTCAAGTAAACAGGTCCCGATAATTAGCCGGTCTTTCATTTTCAGTGTAAAATAAGGTTTTCTTGTTAATCAGCATACCATAAAACCAGTTACAAGATTCTGTTAATCAGCATACCATAAAACCAGTTACAAGATTCTGTTTTCTTTCTTCTTGTTTTTGGCAATAAGTTAAAAGATTTTGTCATACTTCTCCAAAACTACACATTGTCCAACAACTATCGTAGATGAAAGACTATATATAGCAACATCAATAGACTACAGCCCAGAACAATCTCAGCCACTCCAATAGCTGGTTTGCAACTATCTTCCAGAGTTGAATGACACCGAGGCAAGTAATCTATTAACCATGTCCTGAAAGATCCATTACCTACTAGTAGATAAAGCAACAAATTTCTTAAGCATCAACTAATGCAGTTCTTAACCTCAATTGCCTGAGAAACATAGTATCTTTAATACCCAACTCCTTAGTCCGACAAGCACTCTTACTATATCACTAACCTCAACACAGAAACGCATTCTATCATCAGGTTTGACTCTAAAACCCATCATAGAAAAGTCTCAGGAAGCACAAGACGTACCCAGCAAATGCCAGCATATCCTTCTCAAAGCGAAGATGTATTGACATGAAGTGACCTTGCGAACGGAGTTTTTCCACTATGCCTTTGCTTAACTTCATAATATTTGGCTTAAACCTCAAAGCATGATAATTTACTCTGCATCTCAATCTCTGGTACTCGGGGTTGTCAATTTCTTCAGCCAGACGGTGTGAAAAGGGGGTAAGATAGATAGCACCATGTTCTTTCATCTTCTCTAGAGCAGATGTCAAATACCAACTGACTGGAGCATCTCTAGGTGGACGTAGCTGAATCAAAATTTGACAAAAGACAAAACCATCAATATTTAAGAAATCATATATACAGATGTTTGATTCCCTTACCCTTCATTCACTAGTTTAGACAAATTCTAATCTACCAGCTAAATAACTTCTTATGGATTACCTGATGAGATTTTATCTTCTTCGTTTTTCCATTCTTGCGAACTTCCGGTATCTTTTCCACTATCCGCACATCATATCTCAGTGTCTTGATGAAATGTTCGACATCATATATACCGTGGAAACCACTGCATTTAGCAAAGTTAATGAAATTCCTGCTAATCTCATAAAAACCAGCAAAACCAGATTACAGTATCTACAGAATCTTGACCATTTTGTCTAGAGTATAGCAACAAGAACTGTACCTCTCATCATGCCAGAATGAGTTTGCATCCAGCTCAGGTAGCACAAGAGTAGCATTCATAATCCGGGCAGCAAGCACAGCATTACAAATCTTAAGCAGCCAAAAGGAACTAGACATTAGTTTGTGTGATCTGTATGGTGCTAGAGGAATGATCAGTTTAGTGTCCAGATTCAGAGAAAAGAACTTTTTGTCTGATCTAATAACACAATATCCACCAAGAGCCATCACTGACATTAGGACAGAAGAAAGGGGGAAACAAAAATCAATTTCTATTGGCCATAAGACCTGCATGCAGATGAATGCTGATAACAGTATCTAGAAGTTCTTAAAATTTAACATCACATGCAGCAATGAAGTTCTACAATCCACTCATAAGCAATTGAGTCCAAGTTGAATATGGCATTTCAGTTCATCACTCGAATTCAAACTACATCCAAATTAGCGTCCTGTGCCTGTGTGTGCTTGTGCAGTCCAAAGTAGAGGTAAAGGCTCTCTGCACTTAGAAACATTAATCAGATAAAATATACTGCCCGCTTTTCTCTACCACTGTCTTCCATAAGGAACTAGTCTAGATACTGTATCAATCGCATCCTCAAGTGCCAGCAGGAAAATAAGCACCAATACAGCAGCAAGCTCCCAATGCCAGTGAAGTATATTACCCATGCCACTAAGGATGCAACTTATCCACCAAATGAAGAAGAGTAGGATGGGGAAGAACGAATGAGTCGGGAACTAATCCAACTCCAAATTGGTTAGTATCAGTAACCTTTTTTTAAACCCGGCCATGAGTACTTGTATCATCTCGTACATCCTATTTGATTGACTAACAACCAAACCAACACCACCAATTAGCCAGAAACATCTGCTCTTGAGCAGAACCTTTCAGATTTAAGCATCGAGGCTGCGACTTCATACTTGTGACCCAACCAGTTCTCCAAGCATTATATTTACCCAGCAAGTAATATTGTACTATAAAACCTATATTTCTGATGACTAATTTTGCAGCAACAACATTCAGCTTTCTTTTATGTCACTATTAGTCCTTATAAAGACTAAATTATGTCGGCAATTATGTAACAAATGCTTCATTATTACAAAACAGTGGAGCAAAGTGCAAACCCCTCACTTTATAGGGACAGCTGGAGACTGGCCATTGTCAGCGATTGCTTGACTCTCTCCTCTTTTAAAGCCAATCTCTTTGTTATCTCCATTAATGCCTTCCACCAAACAATCCAAGGCATAATCCTATTTGATAAAGTTGAAGGCCCAACAGCTACTTGACCCACAAAAGTCAATAACTCCCACACTCCAAAAAGAATTACGAAGGGGAGCATCTTCCACAAAGTCAAGATCCTTTGCAATTTTCCAATTTGGGATGCTCAAGCCACGAGCAAAAGGCAAGATGTTACCTTAGTCGGAAGATTCCTTCCAATAAACATCTGAAATTGGGGGTTCTAACCATCATTCATGTGCAGCCTTAATCATACTCCACTCAACTTTGCCAAAATTTGTTGCATAAAGGATGCCAGAGGATGTTCATAACTCAGGCACAACTTACCCCAACAAGTTGTTTGCTTTGCCACATCAAGTATCTTAAGAACAGGATACACAAGATTGTGGACTAGCAAAGGGCAAGTAATAGCTATCTCAGCAAAAAACTGGATTAGATTAACTACCAAGAAATATTAGTTGATTGCCATATCAGAAAGCCCCACTAGCATCTTTTTCAAAGGATTTTACTAGCATCTAATATGCAATTTCAAGATGCACATCATTTTCACAAAAGTTACTTTTAAGAATGCTTCGAGTTTAATTTAATTAAGAGGAATACTGAACTTGTTGCAGATTACATTCTAATATCAATTCTCTTTCCAACCAATTAATGAGCCACCAAGTAATTATTACTTCATTGCGATCAGACCATACAACGTAATCACAAAAGATTACCAAAAGAAAGCATTGACCAAACAAAGAAAAAAGAACCACTTCATGGCCAGAATAAGAGACGAACCGCACTGCGTTGCTGATTTAAACCACCATTACAACGAACTCGTAGATAGCCATTGCTCTCGCTTGGAGGAGCTGCAGCAACATAACACAAAGAAAAATATTGAATGTTGGATTGTACGAGCCAGATATGCATTGCGACAGCTCATATTCTGGAAAGGTTACTTACGAGGCCAATCAGTTCTTGGAGCAGACGATGGTCTCCAACCACCAGAATAAGCAGGTTTCCAAAGGTTCTCTACATTAGCCTGATTAGCAAAAGAATATGTGAGGTGATATTCAAATGGTTGGAGAGGTCAAAACCAAAACCACTAAAAATGCAGCGTACAAAAAGGGCAGCTGAGATCTCAAAAATTATCACCACAGATGAACTTTTAAAACATTACTTGCTAGTTGCTAAAGAAAGACAAGCGAACAACCATACAATATAAATCTCCAACTAGGAGCCTTTCTTCTTAGGGATAGATGGCATCGATCACTCAATTCTGGTCACTCCCATATATGAGTTTAACTCTACCTATCAAAAAGAAGTTTTGACACCTAGCAATTAGCATTTGCTAGTACAATGAAATCGCCAAACATAGTTACCCTTCGGTCTACTCCAGCATCCCTGATAACAACTGATTGATGCACATAGATCTGATGCAAAATGAATTCCGTACCCCATCAACATATTGTGGGAGGCCCAGTGCCACCAACCGAAACGGACAAAACATGCGCAGCACTTCATATAACTTCCAACAGTAACTAGCACCCATGATCTCAGTTTGAAATTGTTAAAGTTCATAACAGCCAAAGACTGCCTAAAGGATCTTCAGTCCACCAAGTACTTCCGATGGTGTAAACCCACAAACCAACTGACAACCGAAGACAATCTAGTTGGTCTAAGAACAAGGAAACGATTAATCAGATAATCTAGCATTCCCTAATTAACAAGTCATCTGGCACAGATCCTGTCTTCCCTAAACCTGAACAAAGACTCCAGATTACTTCCCCCACATTATCTCCGCAACCAAACAAGCTAACTAAACAGTTAAATTAACAGACCTCCGAGGAGTAGCCGGATCCGCCATTGCCGCTCATCGAAGAGGAGAACAAGAAAGACACGGTGCAGATCAAGACCACGACGGCAGCGAGCGACAGCTTCCCCAGAATTCCCCTGAGCCCGCCCTGCCGAGCGTGCTGCCTGTGGTGGAACCCCGACCTGCAAACAACCCAACAAACACAAATCAAACACATACCGAACCTCGACGCGACGCGCCCGGTCGCGAGGCGAAAAACCAAATCTTTTTCCTCTGCGCTTCGTACCTCCGCATTGTTCCGGCGATCTTCGGGCTTATGGCCTTCTGGGTCTGTCGGCGTTCAAAAAGACGTGAAGGAGAGACAGCGACAGCAAATGGGTGTCGGAGATTTTGAGCCCGCTGATCCGAAGTTGCACAGAGGCGATGGTTCTGCGCAAGATGAACGCTGGCAGCAACAATGGGTCGAGCTCGAGTGACAGGACAACCTTTCGGAGCGCACTGCAATCGAAGCAAGACTTGCTCCTGACTCCCGACGTCTGCCCAGATCTTGGCGCAAACGGAGCTTTCACACGGTAGCTTTCCCCGCACCCAGACCCGTGTGTCCGAGGTTAGTGGCGGGGAAGGGCAGGGAAACTCGCGTAAAAATCACTTCTTTATCAATGGCCATAGTTGCAGCTTGCCCGTCACTACTGACTCATTTTATGCAAAAGGGCAAAGCTTTCGAGGATGCATGCCATTGCTCTAGCTTTCTCGCGAATTGTTCAATCGAGTGCTTAGACATTTCTTTATGCAATCATGTCCTAAGATCATGGAGTCTTTTTGTTCTAGTTACCGTTTCTTCAAATGTATGGACGGAGATGCTAATCCGGCGGACCACTTTGGTTTGGTGACCCGAAAATGAAAGGGGAATAAATTTTTACCGAAAAAGAAAATCCTAAACAAAATGTGCGTTTGGTTCGGCTTTTGGAAAAAGTTTTGGGGAAAATGCGAAGGCTTTTTTGGTTAAATGGTATTTTCGAAATGCAATTAGTGTGTTTAGTAAATTGTAATTTAATAATGCATTGAGCAACAACTTTGATTTGAATGGCGTTTGTGTTTGAGGGTCTCTGTGTGTGAGTTCAAAGACGGAGGTGGCGGCGTCGGCACCAGGTGCCAAGTTGCTTCCATCGACACTCCTCTCTACGTTTTACTTGGCATATTTTCTTGTTCTTTTTCAGATTTCTCTTCTTTTTCGAAACTTTGTAGAAGCTAAGCTATATCGTTCAAGGTTTAGTATTGCCATCCCGACGTGGCACTTGACGACAATTTCATCGCCACACCATCATTTTCGTTCCCTTTTATCTGTTTTTTTTTTTAACAAAAGGGACCAATTCAAATGAAAATAACACGTAGTTCAAGGATCCGATTGAACAAAAAGAAGTTTAGAGGCTTCATTGAACATCTCACTAAAGATTCAAGGACCTCCTATACCTCTATCCCATATTTTCAACCCATATTTTCAATCAGTCCCTTCAAGCAAGCTCATCTTCGCATGGTATCTTTCTCCTTGAGTTTATCTCAAATGATACTGTATACACTTGACAAATGTGCACCAATGGGCATGAAATTTCTAGTCCCGGTCTCCAAGACCGGCCCCATTATACCGGAAAAGGCTCGAGATCGACCTAGCCCAACAGCTTTTTCCTTTTTAAATTAAAGATGGATTCATTATTATATTTTCGGCCTCAAAAAAATTAACTTTTTTTTATATGTGTTCAACCATTTCTTTTTAAAATTTAACACATGTCGGCACATCAATTCTGGTTCATTTGATTTTAACTATGTATTTTTAACTTATTTGTACTTTATTAAAGTGTTTCGAGTATAAATCATATATTTTCTATCACTCATATTTCATATTGTATATTCTAATATATGTCATTATTTTTGAAAAGGGTTAACACCACAAAAAAACTAAAACTATGCCCGTTATGACAAAAATACACCAAACTTTTTTTTGTGTTATAAAAAACTTCAAACTTATACCAGTGTGTCAAATATACCTTAAATGGAACTGAAATAGAGGGTATATATGTCATACATGTATATATTTGGATTTCTTCGTGACACAAAAAAAGTTAGGGTATTTATTTCACAGGGAGTATAGTTCGGGGTTTTTTTTTGTGTTATTCGCCCTTTTAAAAATTACATCAAGTAGGTCCAAGCTATTTCAAGCTTGAGAATCTCAAGCTCGGAAGGCCCAGACCTACTCAGATAAAAAAAAAATGACAAACTCGAAATTCCAACCCAAGCATATTCAACCTCCAAAAATCGAGCTAGTCCAGGCTTTCGGGCTCCGGCTCTATTTTGCTCACCCCTAAAATGAAGGAGAGTGAGAGAGGCACAAAAGCTAGGGTGGAGTGGCAATAATGTGACCGTGTCGCATTCGCCTAAACCCGGTGAAGGACGTCGGGCCCTTGTCAAGGCTGAATTGGTCCTCGACTTCGCCTCCGCCTCCCCCTTTTGCCTTCCATCCGTTCTCTCCGGGATTTGTTTTCAGCTTAATCTTTTCCCGAATTTTCGCGTGTTTTGACAAAACTGCCCTTGATTTGCTCCGAATTGGGTACTCACGTAATTTGTTCAATCAAAGTATCCTTCCAATATATGGGCTCAACACGGCCCTTCCGTCAAATAAAGCGCGCCATGTCATCAATCTCATAAAATATATATAATAAAATAATAATAAGGAATTAAGTTTACTGATAATAAATTATTCAGTTAAATTAAATCTTGAGGATGGCATAAGCTAGCTAGAGCACGCCGCACCGCCAGCGAGTGTTCTTTTTATTTTCTTCTTTCTTTCTTTTTTTTTTACTCAATAAAAAGAAATTGGACCGTCCAATTCTGTCATGGGAGTGTCGACATATTTGAGGGGAAAACTTTGGACTTTGTTCGTATCGAACGGTTTTCAAGAGATCGAGGGTGGGGTCAGCTACAAATGAGTTCATGATGTCTTCATTCGCCAGCACTTGATCTTGTCCCTGCCGGGTCCCCCTTTTTCTTTACGGTTTTGCCCTCGCGCTCGCTCCGTATCTCCCACGAGCTGCCACTCGGAGGAGCTCGAGGTGGGAGTGCGATTAGGTTAAGTTTGATGATTAATCAAGTATCGGTTGTCGTGAGTTATTCATAGCTTCTTTTTTTCAAGGAGACGTGTAATTGGGCAAAGTTCGATCTAAATCGAAAATGATAGAGAGTTTCGAGGACGCTTGACAATCTCTCGTGCCAAAACGAAGGAGCCTTTAATCAGCTTGATTCTAACATACGACATTTTACGGAACAAGAGAGGTAGATGAACATATTTGGAATACGTACATAACTTTTTGTTTATGCCGAACTCGATTGATTGGCTCAAAGAAATTAAGATAGGGTTTCATCTTATAAATAATCCCGGCATCGTAGCTTTAGCATAAAATTGAATCTCGAGTAAAGTTAGGCACAAATGAACTTTTCGAATCATGTGGCATTGAGTCGAAGAAAAAAGTACGACTAGGCTTTCGATTTCAAAGTTGTCATCTCTCCCTCCATAAGGGTCCTATTCCCTGGATAACCTATCAACATTAAAGCACAAAAAAAGTTTAAGCGAATGTCGTTTTGGAAGAGCATATTTCACTATCCTTCATGTGTCGCTAGGAGGAGCCGTCAACAACTCACCTCACCTGAGTTGCTATCGATACATATGGACATAATTGGCAAAAGGGCGTTTCCGTAAGTCCGCCCTCCAACAGTATTCAACCCTTTCTTTCCTCTTACGTAGCCACCCAAACGCTGTCCAAATCCAACCCAAAACCTAAGTGTACCTGTGCGTGTGCGCGTCTCTCTCTCTCTCTGCGAAGTCCTTGCCAATGCCAGCCACGACGACTTGAAGGGAGGAGAAGGGAAATGTCGACGTTCTTGGGAGACGCGGCGTCGCTGCTGATGAAGGTGCTGATGAGGAAGAGCATCAGCATGTTCGACGAGTTCTCCTGCCTGTTCACAGACCTCGCCTCCCTTGTCTGGTCGGCTCTCCGGTTCTCCACCATCATGGCCAGGCAACCTCCTCCTCCTCCGCCTCCTCCTCCTTCTACTTCTCCTTCTACTTCTTCTGCTTCTGCTTCTGCTTCTGCTACTGCCAGGAGGTACTCTTCTCCGATTCTGATGTCGATGGCCATCAGGCATCGTGTGTACTGAGAACGATCGATGTGATTGATACTGTGCTGTTGGATCTTTCTTTTTCTTGCCCTCTTGTCTTTAGGGTCGTAGACATGGGGTGTTTGGAACTTGCTCATGATTTGCTCGTCTGGTGATGAGCGGTATCTATACATGTCTCTGGTTTTCCAGTTGCAAAATGTTTGTTGTTCTTGATGATGGTGGGTCTCTTGGGGAGTTGTTATTTGGTACGCCGGTTTGTGTGTATGATTAACGGATCTAACGGAGGGACTCGATGAGTCCCGAACCGTAATAGCTCCTAAAACGGATCGCGATTTCGAGCTGCAAGACGAATTTGTGATTTCATTATACTTGTGAGGTTGCGATCGATCTGCGATCTATCTTACAGATAGTCAACGTGTCATTTTACTTGCTTGTGATAAGTCATTTCATGTATCGGAATACATAATAATTAATAATTACTAATCTACTTTTTCTTTTTGACGATATCTACAACTGTTTACCACTTTTCATGATTGTTAGAATTTAAGAAATTAGGGTAACTTTATGAGATCAAGTTGTTGACACCCAAAAGTGGCAAAGTGTTGTGAGATAGTCGACGAGCAGAGTTTGGTCAACAAGAACAAGATTTGGTCAGTTGAGAAGATTGGCAACGCAATGACAAGCACGATCGACGAGAGTCCTCTTCAAGAATTTAATAATTGACCGATAAAGTTATCGACAACAAACTCTATTAGATTTCGACCAAGTATTGAAGCAGAACAATCAATGAACTAAGTGAAGAGATGTCAGCTTGTCGATTAAAAAGTAGGGGTGGAAGATTGACGCGAATCTGTAACTGTCAGATAGTGGAGCCGATGATCTGGATATTTGTAACTTCTTTTAGAGAAGTGTTTTTGAATGACAGGAAACCACATATGAAGTATATAACTGTTCGGTAACCGTATATATGTAAATGGCAATGGTGGATTATAACCACCCCTGCTGTATATGTTGTAAAGGTTCCCCCAATCAATCACAGAACATCCAATGTCCTTTACTTTCTAGCAATCCTTTAATTTTCAGTATTATTTACATTGTTGGCAACGATTGTTCTCGGTATTCTTACATTTAAGTTTCCAGCCATTTACTTTCCAATTTAAAATCTATTAAAAAAAACCCCTTCACAGCCTTTATCAATTCATTCAGACCCATCATACTTGAAAGATTTTTCACTTTTCTGGTGAAGTAGATGAATATGTACATTCAGCATTAGCTAAATCTGTCTATCGAGTCATGGACACCATTTCAGCCGCTCTTCTTTTGGCATACTCAAGATGCGTGAGCGATGCATTGGTTCGAGACATAAGGCGCCCGTTTGACCTCCATCGGCTACTTAGAACTCTTCCGTTATCGTTATCTCATACATATTGACCGTGTACACTAGCTATGGACCCAAGAGAAGAAACCCGTATACACAAGCTACGTTGGAGATCGTGCAACATGTCCATGTCTTCTCGAGGTTGTACAAGACGTATAATCAATTGGGGAGCTTGCTGAGTATGTTACTATCGGTAATATAACCTTCTTAGGCATACTTATGTCTATACCTT